CCCCAAAACCCCAAAACCCCAAAACCCCAAAACCCCATCAAAATTCTTTGGGATTGAAGAATTATAATATTTAAATGAAACTACTTCTAAGAATTGTTAGTCTTTCTGGCAGTAATATATCCACTTAAACCATTATCAAATTCTTCTCTTGTATACATAACTGGCTCAGAAGTGCACTCCTTATCAATCATGTCAGGAGGGTAGCCTTTGTCTTTTAAAAATGTTTCAAATTCTTTAAAAGTGCAGTCGATGCTTTTTCAGTCATTTAGCTTGAGCTGATCATTATCGAAGAATATTCTCACATAGAATCATGTCTTATCGACTAATCCGTATCAGGACTCTTTCTCGTGCTGATGAAGTTCGATTATAATGACTGAGGCGAAAGAGATGTAATCAATTTCAATATTGGTCACATTGAGAAAAGAAATAATCATTGTCATGTGAAGATCATGTGAAGAAAAGTAGACAAACTTTGCTTTCTCAAAATTCTTTATTGATATCTTATTGTAAGGCAGTCCAATCCTAGCTTTCATTGCTTCTAATACTGGATTTAGAAACCTTGAAGCAACTAGAGCCTTGCCTTTGTAATCTAGCTTTAAAACATAATTAGGCCTCTGGGTTCCTTTAAGTAAGTTAATTTCTTCAGTGGTGAAGTTTGCCCTAGGAGGGATGCCTTCAAAATTTTCAATCAAAATAGCATCTATTAAGTGAAATACTGTTTGAATGTCAATATCTTTACTTGATTTGTTGAATGCTTGAGCTATTTTGTCATAAATCCCAGTTCTATATTATTTAGACTCTAAAGCAATGCCAATTACTTTCTATACTTGTCATCCTCCTCTTTCCAATATGAGAAATCAAGAGTTCTATTCATATAGCTATTTATGATGTAGTTTCAACTTTTAATATGAACAATTTCTAGAGAATGTTAAATGAAGTTTAGAAATTGCGATATTTAGAAAATATTTGTCCTAATAATTTACCTTCTAAGTACCCATCTTCATTGTGAACAGGAATTGGATGATAGTCCATTTGAGCAAGGTCAGAATAAATGATGTCTTCATCAAAAGGGCTTTGAGATCTTAAAGAAGGACATTTTTCTTCAATTTGAATATCACATTGATTTAAATATGTTTTCCTTGGGTATAAGCCGAGTAGCTGGGAATACGCACTTTGGATGGTTCTTGGCATCTGAGTCGATTTCACATAAATTTCTTCTGGATTATATTCTTTACTCAACAACTTTTCATCTCCATCCCTCTCACTGACATACATAGCTCTCAACTGTTGGCCTAGAAGATAGTGTTGTCTCATTCCAGAAGCAGTTAGCATTTGCTTTCCATTAGGAAACACACCTTCAGGATAATCCCCAAATGGAGCTCTTGATCCATGTCTTGAGACCTCATTTACAAAGATAATTTTGCTTTGAACCACTGCAAGGTACAAAATCAAAAACCTACCCAGCCATAATACCATTTTAATATTATTTCTATATCCTGGCATAACAATGGGGTTTTGGGGTTTTGGGGTTTTGGGGTTTTGGGG